GCTTCCCCTTGTTTCTCATTGCAAAGCTCTTCTTTCTTATGCCAGTGTTGATCTTGGCTAGTTTACAAATGTATGTGTGTTTTTTTTTATCATTTGCACTAATAGGTTTCTAGTGTTTTATTATGTAGTAAATGACAGTAAGGAGTTATGTTTTCCTCCTAGTTTTGCTGCTTTTGAATTGCAGCTTTCTTCTAAACAAAGATTTTGCATTCTTTGATTTCCACCTTAGTAAATAATCTCAGAAAAACCTTTTGTAACTGTTTAACAACCAAAAAAAGACATAAATTTATCCTGCTATTACTACATTGAAGGGATAATCCAGCTAATTATGATGGATTTCTTTCTGTTTATAATTTAAGGAGATGTGCCCACTGACTTTAAATACTTCCCATTGAACTGAAAAAGTGGCCAGAAGAACTTGAGTACAGTCCTAGCAGTAAAACTAAGTATTTGGTGTCTGCTTCCTTTTCTCTCTCTAAAGACTCTTTGGAGGAGCTTTGGTGGCTTGAGAAGGCTTCTTTTTTAGCCAGTTCTGGTTTTTTCTATCCCTTTGACTTTCTGTCCTCTCTTGAGCTCCCTCTGGCCAGCTAACGAGATGGAAAATTGAGCAGTTGCTCAGTGTCCTTTTCACATGGCTCTAGTTCCAGCCACAGTGTTGTCCTTCCCTTTAGGATTGGGTGGGTGGCTCCTTGTTTTTTAGAAGATATCAGTATTACAAAAGCTTTGGTTCAAGGCCTTGCCACGTTTCTGGTCTGTCTCCAAGCTGTTCTTTGCAGCTTCATGGCTACTGAGCTCATGTCTGTTTGGCCTCCAGTAGAACAGAAGATACTTTGCCATCAGAGTATTCCCCATTTTTTATTTTTTTTCTGTTCATGTATTTTTAATACATTTGCTGGTTGCCATGTGAGTTCTGTATAACTGATAAAAACCATGCTATAGTTTTTATTCATGGTGGTATAGAACTTGCCCTCAAAAAGAGATTTTTGGTGCTGTGTTGCAGTACTTGCTGGTTATTACTGTGCGTTTGTGGCTTTGATCCTGGGCGGTAATTGATGGTGCACCCCCATCCATTTCCATGTGCGCGGTCTGGTGAGATGCTGAAGAAGGCTGTGCGTTAAACAGCTTTCTGCTCGCTTGGGTGATGGTTACGCTAAGCTGAAAGACTGGCGAGGGGAAGGGTAGAAGCCAGAGGTATGAAGGAAGTACTTAGGGCATGGCGTTCAGCTGTGGCTTGCCTGACACCTGGGGCTATGTATAACTTCATGGGAATGGTGGAGTTTTAAATAAACTGAACTGGAGCCTTTGTGGAAAGGTGCCCGGTGATCTTGATGTGCGTAGTTCCTGCGGCATCGGCAGCAGCTGCGTGGGGTCTCCCTGGCAGTGCAGCCGCCTGGGAAACGTGGCTGCAGCAATCCTCATCTGTGGAGAAAGCCAACGATACACAGAAAGTATGTGTTGTAACGTACCTCCGTTGTGAGCATTTTGCCTGGCAGATACAGGGTTGATCTGCTGGTTAACATGTTTCTTCTGGGTGGCTGTAAGTTTAAAAAATGTGGGGGTAGAGGAGTGGGGAATTTTGATCTGTAGACAACAGTCCTTCAATTACTTCTTCCAGGGGCATTTTTCTGAGGAAAAGCCCTTGGACAGTCTGCAGTGACCTCTCTTCTTTTCCTTCCATGGCTTGGTTGAGTCCGTAGGGCTGTACCTTTCTGAAGAACAAGGTCACTACTCATGGCCAAATGATAGTGAACCAAGTTCACTAGCAAAGTTCACTGAGTTCACTAGCAAAGTTCACCAAGTTCACTAAGGGTGAAGGCAGTTGCAAGGCCTCTGGCTTGACTATGTATGCAGGAGGGGGAACCAGAGCTGGAATTACATACCAGGGCTTACGCGCTCTTGCTAGCGCTTCGTGCTCTCTGGCATGGATATCCTGGCACTGGCTTCCATTTGCTCCTTTTCTCTCCCCCATCTTTGCTTCCCCACATCTGTGGTACTGGAATTAGTGCTGGCTGTTCAGGAAAAAATGTTGTGGCTCCTGGGTTGGGAGCCAGGCAATACCATTTCCTATGTCCTCAACTGGTCTGGCTCTGAAGCAAACCAAGGAACCTGTGTCTGTGGATATTATGGTTAGCAAAGGCTAGCCTATATATAGTTTGGTTGATGGCTTTAGGCAAGCTATGATAAACCATGATCTTTTTTGGAGAGGAAGAATGAGAGGGATTACAGTGACAAGCTTTCAAAACCAACAATTAGTTTATGTTTTCAAAGTATGTCCACAAGTGGGGAGGTTGCAAAAACGCGTAATATTTTACAATCCTTAATGTAGAAATCTGTGGCTTTCTTTTCTTGTTCTTTTTGTTTTGTTTTGTTTTTAAATACATGGGACTTGATCTTAGGCTTCATTGTGTTTAGAAACTGCACATCATGTTGGACATGCAGCCTCTCGGGGAATGTGCTGATCTGTTGGCATGTATAAAAGAGACAAAAAGCTTGTGTGTCATTGAGGGTATGAGGGATGTAGAGGAGTAAGCTTACCCAATAACATTTAACTTAAATGGGTATGGTTGTTAAGAAGGGTATGCCAGACAACTCTGCTACTGGACATACAGCTGTTTGTCTAAAGGTCTCAATCAATTAAAATCTCTCTTGAACAGAGCTGTTTATGGATCAGCATTTTTTATGCAAGTGGGAGACAAGTAGGAACAGTAAACTTAACAGTATTTTTATTCACTGACCTGACAGATTTCTCCTGCGATAATTGTCTGAGCACCATGGAGGCTTCTGCAACCTAACCACACACAGCAGGCACAGTGGGAGAAGACTTGAATGGCAGATCCTATTGCTTTCCAAGAGCGTATTTTCAAGCCTAGGGTTGGAAGCACTACTGGTGTGCTGCAGTGCACAAAATATTAAAGCTGTTAGGTTAGCTGCCCTTTCTTTCTTAAAACTGCTCGTTTCCCTTACTAATGTGGGTAAGTAAAATCCTAATGGTCAGTGTCAGATTCTTGTTTAAAAGGCAGAACCTTTTAGATAGTAATGAGTACCTTGGTGCCTGCTTCACAAACTCACTTGTTCTTGTTTTTCTCTTCTTTCTTGAAGCCGCATTTCTGGTATGGTTCTTACAGCATTAAACTATGGCTATCACCAGTAGCTCTGTTACCCTAGTTTTTGGCTTGTCTGTGTGAAGCTGCTGCTTCACAACAAATGAGGCTATCTCACCAGTAGCTCCTGATTTAGATGGGTTTGAATGCTGAGATCCTGCATTGATGGAAGCAGCATAAAAACTGTCTAGAGTTTGAGCCAGCTTCTCCTGCCTTTGTGCCATGTAAGTCGAGCTAAAACAGCCATAAGGAGCTTGGGTAGAAATTCCTCATGGGGAAAGCCTTAAGAAAAGAGCCTCTGCTCCCATCTCTCCCCTTGTGTTCTGGCATTTGTGGAGTGTGGAGGACAGGGTCAAGTAAAGCGGAGCTGCTACCTTTCTCTGGCTGTTACTGATGTTTCTCCAATAGCAGAAGTTTGAAAGAACACTTTCTACTATGGCAAACAACACGTGGGTGTAAGGCAGAATAAGATTTTCTTCTATGATCTGTCCTAGTTGCTGGCGTTATTGTGAAGACACTACTTGATCTCCTTACTTGGCTTTTCTTCATTCTGTTCCTCACCTTCAGTCCTGTCAGCTCAGCCAACAGATTTCGGTCACCTTTCCTACTCCTTGAGTACTGCTCAAAGTACTGAGGGAGTAACATGCCATAGCTGCTGCTTCCCAGTTCTTCTCTGATAGTATTTGCTTGTCCTTTTCCTTGGGTTTGTGGAGAGAGAGAGGACTGCATGTGACTGCTTGGTGGTAGTTGTCAGACATATTAGAGGATGAAAAGTAACACAAAATATGAGCATGTAGAGAAGACTAAGAATCCAGTCTTGGAAGAATATCCTTGTGTTAATGCAATACTCTCTAGTATTTGAATCTCGTATGCAGAAGTATTTGAGAGATGAGATAGATTTAAAGGGGGGAATGAAAGTATTAACACGGTCAGCATCATCAGCTGTAACATTGATATGTGAGTGCCTGCGTGATCTTACAAAATTGGTTTCATGCTATTTTTCTAGTGAAGGGCTGTGTAATTGCAGTCTGCCTGTCCATCTGTCAGTCTCTCCTTTGTAAATTTTGAACACACTGGTTTTGTTCTAGGTAAGCTCGAACAAGTTTTGGAAATTTCAGAAATTCAGACTCCTGTAACATTTGTGGGAATGGCTTGCTTCGTGGCAAAAGACCACAAAGACCAAAAAGCGTTGTAAGGAGACCCAGTTAGTTCTGCAGACATTTTGGGGAAGGAGATCCTAAGCATGAAAGGTGCTTACTTGAAAATCTAGTTGAGTGATAATGCAGACAGCCATCCGAAGTCAACTGAAAAATAGTGTTATTCCTGATTTTGAGCTAAAATATGATTTAAATTAATTTAGTATAATCCATAAGATCTCTTAATCCCTTCGTCCTAACTTTTCACGCTGTGACAAGAGATACCTTTAGTATTTGTTTCTTGTGAGAAACAATAGTTTTAATGTGTTGAAGAATTTTGGCAAGGTAGCAACAATTCTTCATGTGTGAACATACTTGTCTGGTCCCTGTAATTGTTTTGCAACACAATCTAAACATATGTTGAAAAAAAGTCCAGGCATCTTTGCTGACCTTATAACTGTTTAGGCTCTTTGTGTTGAAAATAAATTTCCCAACCAGTTTATGCAGCTGGAGAGAGGGGGATAAAATTTCTCATTGATGGTGAGGGGCAGTAGGTGTGAGTCCGTGGTTGACTCTTGACTGCCACAGGGCAGTAAGCCCATGGAAACAAGAAAATGTTTCAGGCCGTCTGTACTTTGGGTCTCAAAGAGCAGTCAACGTTGCAAAACGTCATACATTGAATGTCTCTGCTCTGTGTTTGGAGGCTCTTTCATATCACCTTGTATCCTCAGGAAAATGAGAGAGAAATTTCACGTGCCGGAGCATGGGCTGCGCTGCATGTTGTGAGATTCTGGTACCACCTTTTTCTACCAATTTCCATTACGGGACATAGACATTACACAACCTTTTTTCTTAGTCAAGTTGTACATCTCTACCTTAGACTTAAGAAACTAACTTTTAGTCATCTTATACATAAGGTGATTGAAGGCTTACAGAAGTTTTATTCTGGCTGAGAAGGGACAGTGGAATTATTATGGTGGTCTGATTTAACAAAATGAAATCTGAATAAAGCTGAAAATCAGCTCTTTCATTACTTTTCCATTTACAGCTGTTGCAGTCTCACTGGACAAGTAGACTTGGGAATGTATCTTCATGTGAAATGTTGCAAGGAATGCAGAAGAAAGCTATACAGTTTGGTTTGTGTTCAGTTGGGCATCCATTTAGTTTCCTTTCTCTGGAGGAGATCTGTTTCTTAAAGTACTTCTTGTTGCTGAGTGTATAAGTTTGCAGTTGTTTTCAAAACAGTCTAATTTGTACTTTATTAACATTTTCATAGATATTGTTGAGTGTCATTACCAAAATGATTCAGCACTCTGAAGAGCTCTGATACGCAATGAGCAAGAAAACGTTGCATCTGTTTTACCTGCTGTTTTTTGGCTGCCTGTCCCTCAAACTTGTTTTTCTAAGGAGTGAAATCTCTGCATGTTAGACTAATTACTGCACGTCAGTTCCTTAACTCTTAAAAAGGCTTGGACGTCGGCTATGCAAAAGTAATGAGACGTGCAGTGATGTAGCCAAGGGTCCAAATATCTGTTACGCACATGCAGTTGAAATGACCATGGGAAAGGAATGTGGTGCTAATTGTCTCTGTAGCAAGCCATGGACTGGTGTTCCCCCCTGCCCCGTTCACTTTAAATATAGTGGTGAATAATATTCATGAGCATGGATGGTCCAGGGACCTTAAAACTTGCCAATTCATAATTGCTCTTTGCCACATATATTTACTTACACCTGTGCAAGGGTCAGCCAAAGTGATACCAGGTGAGTTAAATCCATAAACTATTTTCTTTTTTCTGGTGTTGTTGGGGCCTGACTTTGAAATCGGTGAAAACTTTGCTGTTGCCACAATTCACAGAGGAACAGGCTGTTTGTTCTTAAAAATTTTCTTCCTTAGGAAAAGGTCTGCTTCTGCTTCCACTTTGCCCTCCTGGGTTATGGAACGATCTCATCCAGTGCCGAGCTGTGCGAGTACAGGTGTCCCTTCTGATTGCATAATAAGAATAACCAGATTTGTGTACATTTCCTACTTTCTCTCTTTTTTTTTTCTTTTAAAGCCTGAGACTGCAGCTGTGCTGAAGCGCACTGTTGAGGCTCTTATGGAGAGAGGAGCTGTTGTGAGGAACCTAGAAAACCTGGGAGAAAGGTCTCTACCTTACAAAATCTCCAAGCACAAGGAGCGTCACAGAAGAGGAGGGTATGCACGATGCGCTTTTCCTTAAAATCCTTTAAGTGCTCCGTTATAAATGTACATCTGTAACTCTCATTGTTTGCTCTTCCTTGTGCTTTTTGGGAGTACACCTGTAATGTCTGTGATCTCGGTAAGGCTGTGTGTGGCTGTGTGTGCATGCGTGCGTTCTGCTTCAGGTGGTCTGTGTCTTTTATTCTGCGTGCTGTTGGCTTTTTGTTGATGTTTAGTCATCGTGTTACCAGTAGCCTGAGTCCAGGCCTGCAGAACCACTTTCCCCGACATACACAATGTTATTTTGTTATGTCGTTTTTACATAACTATTTTCCAAGCCAGTCAGGCTGTTTACTGATAAAAGTTGTACTTAATCTGCTGGTTGCTAATTGGCAGGATTGACTCTTTTTCTCTAATGCACCTGAACTAAATGTTAATTTAAATGTGTACCCTGTAAGACTTGCTTGTGCTTCTGATACAATTTTTGTTAAGGATGTTAAAGATGACCGTGTGGTTTCTGGGAAGTAAATGTAAATGAAGCTGTGAACTGGCACCTCAGATGTCGGGCTTCCCCCGCAGTGCAGGAGGAAGGTGCTGTGGATCGCACCCCCTGCTTGCTTACGCCAGTGTGTTGTTGCTCCTTGAGGCTACCTCCGAAATGGATGCTGGCTCTCGCAAGGACTGGGAAATGTTGCTAGGCAACCCGCACTGCGCTGGGGCTGCCTGCGGTAATCAAAATAACAATTAGCAACACACTCCTCCTAATCCCTGTAATGCAACTGTGCGTAATGGGATGGTTGGCCAGCCTGCCTACCTGCCATCTTCCTTGAGGGGCGTTTGGCGCTAGGGAAGGCGAGGTGACTCCAGAGGTGCACCTTTCACGAAGCCCTTCTTGGATCATCTCCCCGGGGGTGACTCACAGTTTCACTCCCTCCTCTGAGGACCTCTTCATTCTCTGCGAAGTGGGAGAGGTGACAGCTGCCAGTTAAAGCAGACTGACAGAAAGGGTAAGGGAGGGAATCTCCACCACGTGCCTGTTACTTAACTGAAAGCAACAGCGTTGTGGCCGTGACTGTCTTGCGCTCGTGCTCCGTGGTGTCCTTCAAAACATGGCTTGATCCTCCCAGTTTTGCATTTTAGGATGAAGTTTTGTTGCCTACGCACGGGAGCTAATCAAAGCCTCGTCTCAAGACAGAATTACTAATTACCTCGTGCTTCTGTTGGAGTAGAAGCATTTCATAAACATTAAAGTCTTTTCCGACAGCTTCAGCAGAACAAGGAGCTGGTGTTAACTCTCCTTGTACAGGTGGGGAGCTAAGGCAGAGGGACTCAGTTCCACTAATTTTGGATGCTGAAGTTGAGACTTTTGGCTTCTAGATTCCCCCTCCCCCCCCCGCCCCGAGTACTTAGCACTCTCTAACATTCACTGCTTCGGATGACAGTTTCAGCTTGGCTTGGGTGGCAGTACTTCTGCAGATCAGGTCTTGGATTCTTCAACAGGGAAACCAGGACAGGAGAAGACAGTAACCAACATCACAAGAACTATGTAGCAGAGATGAATAGAAGTTATTTCTTCAGGGGATCTTTCAGACATGTAAACTAGCTTAACTCATCTACTGTAGCAGATTACCTGCTTAATAAGCATGATGAGGGGATGTGTAGATTATAACCCTCTTCTTTGCAGAGTTCTTAGAGCAGACATATTTTGTGTTCCGAATGAGGCAAGATTTTAGTAGCAAATAATTGCAATTGTGTCCTGAAACACGGGCAGGAAGCCATCAGATGAATGTCACCATCGCTTCTCCTCCTCCACCTCCCAGGTCAAGTGTCTCTAAATACTTAGCAGTCATTCTGCTTGCCCTGGATTTGGATCCTCTGTATTTGAGTATGACAATTCCCTCCCCTAAATTGCTTGGCTTCTTGAAAGGGAGAAGCGATTGAGAGAGGGTGCGACAGGAAATAGTTGGTTTGTGTGCTTTTAATTGGAGAACTCAAATACAGGAGGCAGGAGATATTACAAGGGGAAGCAGCAGGCAGTTTCAGTACCTGGTAATGTGGGAGAATTGTATTTCTGTAGATTTTGCTGGGGAGGTTGCAGTTCAGTGTACGGGTATGGTGGATTCCTGGTATACCATCCAATATTTTATGTGGTCTGGAGAAGCTGTTACTCAGGATGTTAAACATAATCTAGGAATAGGAAGTGAAAAGTCACTTCTTGATCCACCTTATAAAATCAGTCAGTTCTACTTTACAGCATCTGTTAAAAGGTGTTTTTTTTTTTTTTTTTAACAGGACAAAGGTAAAAAGAACAAAAAGGCTTTTCAAGACATCTCACTAAGCTGAATATACACCTGTACTTACTAAGAAATCCTAAGATCTTTTCTCCTTCATAGCCAATTTTTAATTCTGTCTATGTTCCCTTTCTTAGCAAGTTGGTACAGAGTGGTGTATTAGGTAGTACAGAGTGTGTCACCTTTTCCTTAGTCTGGGCTTTTTCTGAAGTAACTGAAGGGGCTTCTGTGAGAGTGCAAATGATACTGTGTGTCTGTGGCGGGGGAGAGTGTTGAATCTTTCAAAGCTTTTCATTTTGTGTTTTTTTTTGTTTGTTTGCTTTTTAAAATTTAGTTGTATTTTATTTTAGTTTTGTGATTCTTAGCAGAGCTTCAGCTAGTTTATTTTCCATTAGTACGTAGATGGTTGGAGACTTAGGATGTACGCTGAACCCATTACTTTCTTGGACCTCCTGGCTGGTGAATCATATGAAAATTAGTGGAACACAATATTCGTAGCAACAAATTATATTAAAATTAGTGCAATACAATAGCATATCTCTTAGAGACAGCCCTTGTCCTAGTGACCGCTGCACAAACCATTTTCCTGTCACTCAGAATGGCATGGAATCCCCCCCACCTGCATGGGGTGTTTGCCTGAAAAACAGACCAAAACGATCGTCCTCACCAGCATAGTGAGCCTAGCTTTGCTCCCTTATAAAACAACCAGTGCTATCCAGGCTGTGTCTCTTAACCTCAAATCAAGGGCCATCAGTAAGGCAGCACCAGCTATTTGCAGGTCAACTGAGACTTGCTCTGTGGCACGCCTAGTAGTCATCCTTCTCCCAGGCTTTTGCTGTACGTTTTCTTCATTTAGTTAATTCCGTTTTTAACTGCAATTCAAGTCTTTATATACAGCATATCATAAAACTGAGCGATTGACAGCAAAAGGACACATAAGCGCGATGTGCACGGCAACGCTACTGCTGGACTTAGCCAGGTTTTGGTAGTGTCTTTAGTGAACAGTAAAGAATTAAACTGGAAAACACATACTCATAGGTGAATAGGGAGGATAGTTGTCTCCTTAATAAAGCGCTTTTCCCCCCTCTGAGTTCTGTAGTGCTTTGGCATCATCTGTCTCGGATATACTGCATTACAGGCACATTACAAATTTAAGAATATACAGGAGACTTCACAGAGAATGAGAATTTTACTGCCAATTGATCTGTAAAGCTGAGATTTTTCAAAGCCTGCCATAGGGAATTGTGGCCCACAGCTGTCACGGGAATGAGCAGTTTTACTCTCCCAGGCAGCTTTGAAGACCTCAGATCATACATATAATTGACTTGTTTCTTCTCAGGAAATTATATTCACTGAGCAGGTGGTGCATGTGCATTGAGGGTATATTAAAACAAATTTAGGTCTTTCTCTTAAATGCATCTCTTTTGGCAGAAAACACCTTTTTTTTTTTTTTTTTTGAGAGAGAGAGAGACTTTTTCCCCTCCTAAATTTTGTAAAATTTCCTTGAAGTATTTTTTTTGGTGTTATACTGCATTACAGGCACATTACAAATTTAAGAATATACAGGAGACTTCACAGAGAATGAGAATTTTACTGCCAATTGATCTGTAAAGCTGAGATTTTTCAAAGCCTGCCATAGGGAATTGTGGCCCACAGCTGTCACGGGAATGAGCAGTTTTACTCTCCCAGGCAGCTTTGAAGACCTCAGATCATACATATAATTGACTTGTTTCTTCTCAGGAAATTATATTCACTGAGCAGGTGGTGCATGTGCATTGAGGGTATATTAAAACAAATTTAGGTCTTTCTCTTAAATGCATCTCTTTTGGCAGAAAACCCCTTTTTTTTTTTTTTTTTTTGAGAGAGAGAGAGACCTAATATTGACAGCATTTGCATTTAAGTAATTATGAAAATAGTATGTTTCAGGAGCTCTGTAGATATGTCTGAAGAATCAAACTTTTAAATCACTGGTTTACTGATATTTTAAACTGAAGTTGAATTAGCTACTAATTCACATTTATGGTATTAATTGCCATAGTAGAACATTAATATTTTCTTTTTAAAGTATTTTAAGAGCGTGATTCAAGTAACATCTCACAAAATTGTAACAAATACTATTCACCTTACAGATGAATAAAATGTGACAAGGACACATTGGTTCCAGTGTGGGTTAGGTATGTAAATTTAGTTGAGGCATTGAGCCTGAGTGACTTGCCTGTGGCCACCATGCCTCTGAAAAAACAGTGGAAGAATGTAAATAAGGATTCCCAACTTTATCTCCTAATAGGCAATAGATTTGTGCCAAATATTTGTTCTACTAGTTACTGCTTGTTTATAATTTTTAATAAGTTGTATTTAAATTGCTTTGAACACAGTGCATTTTTTTTAACATTGTATTACACGTGTCAGGAGGTGCTTATTTCTGGAACAAACAAAGGTGAACTGATTTAAATAAGGTGTGTACTAGTATTTGAATTCAGGGAATGTTAAACTCTGGATTTGTTGACTGTTTAAGATGATACAGAAGCATTGAATCCCTCAAAGCAGCTTTCAAATAAAGGGTCCAGACTGGGGTTGGGTGATGACATTGCAGAGCCATTGCTGCATATTTGGTCAGTGCTAAACTGGAGAATCTTGCAACTGCTTGTAAAATGATAGATCTCAGTAGCACAGTCTGTGGGTTTGCACTTTGTGGCATACCTGTTTTCTTTGGCCTTGCCAGGC